TTTGCAAAAGACTTTTGCCGCAGAAATGCGATAAAAAGAAGTACTCTTCAGGCGAAAGCAAACAGACTGTGAATGTTTTCGCGCTGCTGAAGTCCAATTTGCTAAAAACTTTCATTCCGAAGTTCATTGCGCTGAAGACACTTGATTCGAGAAACAAAAGTAATATTTATTTGCAGGTAATCAGAAAGTTACAACTAAAAGAGCCAATCCTGAGTCTGAAGGTTTCGTGGGAAATTAGTATTGCAGTACAAAGTCGTTTTGTATTCTTTATGCTTTTTGTTGTTGTGATCATAATTGGCATGAGTAATTCTTCAATTTATAACCAATAAATAATTCTTAGGGAATTTTCGCCCTAAATTTACAACTGGATGAGATTTGCATTTAGTTGAAGTAAATCAGTAACTTGATTGTGGACTACTATCCCGAGAGGAGGCTTCGAAAAACAATCTGGCTTATTCGCGATAATGAATGATCATTCTACTTGGGCTGTCTTATTCATGAAGTTGAGTTCATGCTTGGAACGGAGCTAGCTGTAAGACGATTACCAAATTGCACTTGTGTACTAATTAAAGTTATGTGGAATGGATTGATAAGGGTAAATATTATCAATTGCATACAGTTGTTCAGTACAACAGATATAACAAACGAGCACAGTAGCATCACAGACACAGTCTCAGTCAACTGCATCAGTGAATAAACGTTCATTATCATCATTTCTTGCAAATACTTGCCGCATCTTATTGAATGTTCTTTTCAATGGCGCTCGAAAAATGAACACAATTGAGGCCAAGTTAGTCAGGATGACAAAGATGAAAAATCCCAGCAATATGTTGGAGCTGAAATTGATCATTTCATCAATACTCTTCAGTCATATTAAAAATATATCCTAATTTCGTCAGGATTTGCTGACCCAACGTATTTTTCACATATACATATCTGAGATGTTCAAATTAAATTCCCGGCGAATCAGAGGATACATCGAGTTTTACGGAATATCGGCACAGTCTTACTATTTCGCTGCCCTCCATCCACGAAAATAATGAGATTCGTCAGTTCGATGCATAAAAGACATCTTTTTAAGGAGCACCATTCTAATAGCCTATGACTGCAAGAAATTTGTAGTTCTACTGCTATCTTAAAAGCGCGATTGCGACTTTTATCAAATCGACCAATTTGTCACTATATTCTTAATCACTATTTACAAGCAATAATCATCCTCTTCAGCTGTCCAACTTCCGCACCCCCCCTCCCCTTTCTCACCCCCGTCTCCCTTTCTTCACGTTAGTGTTTCGCACTGAATAAGTTCTTTGATAAGTAAACGAAATTATAAAAAGGAAAAGTAAAACGACTGTAAACGATCAACAAGCAACTAACTATAGATGGCATCTACGTAGTTTTTGATTGCATGTAGTTTTGCCGAGCAGATCCGTTCCGTTAGCAGATTCGAGCACATCATCCAGCCAATCATCCATTTTGCATCTATGCTATCTCTCCTTCCAATCTTCAATTTCCAGTTACGGTCTGAAAACATTTGTTTGACATTGGCGCTCCATTTTACAACAGTGATAATCGCGTTGTGATGAAACGCCACTCCACTAAGCCGAGACTTCCAAATATCCAAGTTTAATCATCGGCTGAGTCTCGGTTGTTCTTCAAGTCCTATATTTGCACTTGAATCGGCTGCAGCTTGCCTGAGTATTACCAAACACTTTGACTGAGGCTTCCTCAGGTTCAGTTCAGGCTTCAGATGAGTGGTGGCTCTTTCGGAATGCGCGATTCCCTCATCTGGCTCTGCTAACGATTTACGCAGATATACGATCTTGACATCACAAGAACGCAAACAAAGATCAGGCAAGCTTGTTGTTGTTCAAATGGGGCATTCTGAATAGTTTCATCGATGGTTCTATCAACCAAAATATCATTGCTGACATCAGTCGAACAACAGATAAAGAATTTCTTCACAGAGATCTGCTCTCGCTATACGTGCAAAACCCGTTCCCCTCCCTGCTTAGACCATACAACAAATCTCCCTCCCTCCTTTTCTCAAACAAATTCTTAATGACGAGTCAGGAGGAAATCAGGAAACTGATCCAATAATGGATAAATTTGATCCGTAAACAATTCGTCGTAAATATCAAAGTGCCCATTTCCTTTTGATCAAACAAACATTTTGAAAATATTGTTGAACCATTATGGAAGGATCATGAAAAAACGATCGATCAACATTAATTCGTCAACGCTCTCAATTAATTCCCTTCTCGTTATACCATAATTCATAGAGATGAAAACTTCCCTCATCATAAAAACCATTCAGATAAACCATACAATAAGCTTCATTAAACGGTCTATCTCTTCAGATGCAAGTTATAACAGCACATTTATAATAAGCATGTTATGAGCGAACTAAAATGGAATCTTATGGTAAATAAAAGATAGCTAGGCAAGTGCACTTGAACGTAATACGCGTTGTGAGTGTGTGTCTCAGACAACGTTTATATGAGTTCGTCATGCATACGTTTATATAAGCCTTAACAGTCCACCGAGGGCAGATTGCTTGCTTATCTGCTTAAACGTTTAAATGTCGATACAAAAGTTTTTTAGTTTGCTATGTTTTACTTGCGATCTTAATTTGTACGGTTCGAATGAAGTTTGCGGTGACTTCTGAATGGGCGTTCTATAAAAAATCTTCATTAAGCGGTAGTGACTCATCTTCATTAAGCGGTAGTGACTCATTGTGACCAGCCCACGTAAGGTGATTCCTTCGAGTCAGTTGTGAAATAGATGAATGTATGCACATAACTTTTTACCGAAGAATTTCAATTAACAGAGAATAAATAGGATGCCAGTCTCTGGTTTGCACGTTCACTAGTGCTGAAAGTGTGGGCAGTTGGTTGGTGCACAAGTTTCATTTATCAAATACTGATTATGGCATTTAATGTGTTTGAGGTTGACTCTCTGGAATAATTCTATCTTGAGGATCGTTAATAATTGAAAATGCTCATGTTGAGGAGTTTTCTGAGAAAAATAACAAAAATGTTTAGGAAGAAGAACATGAAATATGAGGATAAGTCGAGAAGCGATAGGCTGGGCACGTCTCCAATAAATGACGAAATAACTCGTTTAAACGTTGATTGCTGCGTCGATTTACAATATTGAACATAGATTATTGCTGAGAAGAGTGTAAAAGTGAGCAGCGAACGTAAACGATGTTGCTAGACAGCATCAATAAAGATGATAATAGAAGAATGTGGCTTTATTAGAGCGAGCAGTGGTTTTTTGTGCTAATTGTGAGCAGTTCGGTGTTAGATGGGCANNNAAGCACGAATGATAGCCGTTTTGATTTCATTTTGTTTCATTCACGATCAGATTTTCGTTTGACAAATACATTTTTGTTGTTGATTTTTTTTCATGGTGAGTTTAATTTCATTCAACTTTCTGCATAAATTCAAACCATTGAGTATGACCCAGATTTTATGCAGATTTCAATCTACAAAAGGGAAATGAATTCAACTGTAGAGTATATCTCATTCCTCATTCATGCTGCCGGGAACACTTTGTTGCAGTTATGTAATCGGTTACGTAAATTCTTATGTTTGACCGTTACTCTCCAAGAAAGATTCATTTCTTGCGCTGAAATGAATCCTTTTTGAGGAGTTTTCACGAATATCAGTGAGGAAATTTGAAATACAATTTGCAGTTGGTTTCGAATAGATTTGCATGAACAGAGGAGATGGACGGCACGTTGAGAGAGAGAACTGATTGTGAGATGGAATAAGTACTTCATGTTATGCAGAGGTGTTCATTGCAAGTATCCTATCTCNGAATAGCTTCCAATCGAATAATTTCGAATATTATTGAACTTCGGTAAACAAAAAGAGCGCAAAGCAGAAATTCGATTCGGATCCGACCGAATTTCGGTCAACTACCATCACTGTTCTGAAAGTGCACTGACTTACCTGTTAACTATAAGCACATTGAGAGTGTTTGATCAGAAAAGGAAGATGAAGTTATCAGTGAATGAAGAGAATTTTATTGTTTTAAAATAACGAAGTCATGACTCTTTATGTACTTTTGAAGTATAAAGTTGGCAGTTGACATGTCACTTGTGGTCTGTCACTGATATGATAAGAAGTTTTTGTTTGTGTGCAAGCCTTCTAAATTGAGAGATAATCCGTTCGATTTTGTGACGAGCAGTATTCGTTACTCGAAGGTGTGGAGACTGAATCATCAAAAATCTTTGCGTTGCTAGAGGCTTTTCAATTTGCAGATAACGACCTCAAGTAGAAATAATGGAGAACTGAAGAGGAATTAATGCTTTATTTGCATATGTCCGGTTGTAATGTGGATGTTAGCGATAACATCACATGTAATTGCAATTTTACGCCGGGTAATAATATAGCAACACCGTGATGAAACTTCAATATATACAGCACAGAATAAACAACGATTTTATGTGATATTTATATGTACAGTGCGATTCGCATCACATTATGACGCGAAAACATCAACAATCAAACAATGTTTCAATATGAAACTGGTCATTGATGTTCTTCTGACCTGGTGGTAAATTAAAATTATTCTTTCTTCGTTAAATCTGAGTAGTTGTGAACGTTTACTACAATGTTTGTAATGAGCGCTGTTTGTGCGTGTGACATCTCACATTCTAGGCTTTCGCGAATGAGACGCGAACAATCAGGTGGAAAAGTTTTACACATAAAAACATTCATCGTCATGGTTGGGGAATAATTTCGGTCATTTTTGGTTAGTTCATGATGGATTGAATATTTGCTCATCCACGCCTGAAGAAAAAATGCCTCCGAAGTTGATGTGCCTTAACTTTCACTGTTCTTTCGGTTTAATGATTCAATATATCTGAAGCGAAGCGGAGAGTTGTTATTGAACCAACAATTCAGCGCTGTCATTTACGTGCAGATTCAAAGAAGAAAGTCAAAACCAGGTCATTGATAAACGTTCGCATTGTGCTAGGAAAGAGCCTGTAACTAGCCAAAGAATTGTGATAAAAGATTGGGTGAACTGTTTGTATCAGGTGTTGCTTGTTTTGCACCACCTCTAATCAGAGAATTGATCAGGTTCTCAATATTTGATCCGGACGATGAATGATAATCGGGTGAGTAGGATGGTGCGAAGAAATTGGATATGTCTGGTGAGGATGGAGACGATGATACTGACGAACCTGAAAAAATGCTCGATCAACTGATTAAAGATCGACGAAAAGAATCACTCACCTACCACGTAGATGAGTGGCTTTGTAGATGAATTTTTCAGTAAAATAAAATGCAAATCAATATACGTCTAAAAAAGTAGTGTAAATTTCAATCTGACGATACATTTGCAGATTATAGTTAAGAGGTAAAAACTTCTCTCGATACCTAAAAATGTGTTCAGAAGAGATTCCAGACCGGATTGCTTCGCAGATCGAAATTGATTGGAGTTCGTTCCAAGTGCACCACCGCCATAATCTGACAAAGGTTTCAACAATCCCAACGAAGACGCTCCATAGTTTTTGCTGGCTTGTTGCTGCGGTTGCGACATATCTCCAATAATACCGTTACCAGAACTGCCGTAACCCGGACGGCTGAAGTATTGTTGTTTTTTTTTTTATTTTAAAAGTTTAATGAGCATAATGCAGTGTTAAAACGAATTATTCAATAGGCAATGATNAGAACGGTTCGCCTAGTTAGTATAGCATATTGCAGATCATTTGCAATGAAGTAGATCATAGCTCTCATTGTAAAATCAGGTACTGAGCGTAGGCTGAAATTTTTTTTGTTGACTGATTCGAATTGTAATGGGCATACTCTTTGGCATTATTGATTATCGAGCCTCCCAAGTTCATCAGTTGAGTTGCGATGCCATACCCTTAAATCAGTGATGATAGTATAAGCATGTTGAGTGAATGGAACTGGTCAAGTTCTGAACGATGGTATGTCTCACTTGGGATTCTGATACGAAATGTATTGATTGCATAAAAGTGCTCTAGTGAATAAAACATTCTCTCACTAACATTCCATCAGTTTTTGTGCGTTCTCAACGAGCACAGCATTCTCGCCTGGATTAGCGATAGGTGGTGGTTGTCCACTGACGAGATTCAGAGTCCACGAGCAGAATAACAGGACACTCAACCACACCATCTGAATTTGTGGATCGATATTAATCACACCGATAAACCATTCAATCAGATCTTAATGAGCGACGCGCAATATTCACGAATTGTAATGAACAAAAAACTTCCTAAGTAAGATCTAAGATCGCCAATGAATGAAGAAAATTCTTGAAATGCCCACGAAAAAGCCTCTTCATGGGCATTTCAAGAAAAACAGTTACATCTGTGACGAGCTCAAAAGATTATTCTTTAGGGAGATCATAGTCACCATAACACTGTCATGGAGTATCGGATGGGTATCCTCACGACGTGTGCTTGTCTAGGAATCATTGGCAGCGCTACTTTGATGGAATGCAGTTCGAGCAATTCTCATCTGACCAATACAGTCATTGATGTTAATTCTCGAGTATTTGCGGAGTCAGAGTTGCGAAACCATGCTAATGTCAGAGTCTTCACCTCAAAAATGCTATCCAGTCAACAAACGTAACTCGTGCTTAGGCAATCTTCTCACGATCTCGTTGATGGAACCGTTGAAATTAATTAACTGCTCTACCTTCATGAAACTTCACAAACAAACTGCTCTAATCGAGAACTGAACGAAGCCGTTTGAAAAACAAAGTTATGGTATTCGCAACGAACAGATGAAACGCAGTGAACGATGATCAAAACATAGAGTAGGATATACGAACCGTATATGCATCCCATCCCATCCACTCCATAATGACAGGATTATAACAACGAATGACCGAAATCGAGATGTATCGAACCCGGATGCGGCCTCAATGCATGAATGTGTACACACGTCTCCACACAATAAAATTCGTTGAATAACGAAACTGATGCGAATCCACTTAATAAAAACCGGATGGATACAGATTTATTGTTATCGAAATGATGTGTCCACCAAAAATAGTATCTTCCTTTATGACCAGTAGTGAAAGTGATTTGAGTTGACATTAATCAAATCGTTTTGACATGCAAACAATGAAGAGCGCATCTTTATGTGACAACAATGCAATATTCGGTTGATATCGCTCACTTTTCATGACAATAACTTGAGACATCCTTTTGAAGGATACGAAAAGAGGTTTAGAATACTTTCAAAACCAACTGATTTTGAGAATGTAAAATACGGACGAAATATAGTGATAATTGACCTTGATGCTCAAATAGATATTTGCCTGACAAAAGTCTATACTAACTCGATGAAAGCAACCGTCTTTCGAAGAAGAACACAATGGTATTTCAGTAAATTTCTCCTTGATTTCATTGAAACGAAAGCTTGTTATATGTAGTGTGTATAGTTTTGTTGCTCGTATTGATGACTCATTGCACATTTATATACCTTATGGTTAGATCGCATATAAAACTTGTATGTACAGCGGAAATATTAGCGTTGNTTCACTAAACAAGGTTTCAGATGAGTTTCACTACTGAACTGGTTTGCATAATCCACTGCAAGGAGTCTTAAAATGAAAATCGCATTCATGGATTAAAAGTGGATAAAAATGTCAAGGGGAAACATCTATTGGTATTCTCAAAGGATACTGACGAAATTTCTTCAGTAATTCAAATTCAAAATTAGATTTGTTGATTGAATTATTGAGAGAATTGGATAAGTTTATCGTTGTTATGTTCGAATGCTTAATAAAGTATTCATTGGACAATACAAATTAGCTGTTTAGCATGGAGTTGATTACAATGCAATTTGCATACTACGGCACTAATTAAGCAATGAAATTCTTCGTCCGTTCACGAATACCAACCACCTCCATCAGTCTACTGGTCTGATCTGAACACTTCTAGCTGAGAACAGAATCAGCTCTGAAAATATTTGTGCAGCAAAATGGAAGAAGCTGGTAAGTTACGGAAACGTAAAGGTAACGTGACGGCAGCCATAACTCATCAGCGAACAGTAGCGCAACAACGTCGAATGCTCGAGAATGTTGAATTTGAGAAGTTGTCTGCTGAGTTGCCGATTGCTCGTGCAATCAGTGGACAGCATATCGATAAGGTTTGCTTGATTCGGTGTTCATCAATTTTTATGATGCAATCGCTTTGTTCGATTCGACAACACCTTGTTGAAAACTTTCTTCATTGTGATCATTTTTTGCACTGTGATCATCATTGTGATTTTTCACTGCGATAATCAATTTTTTATGAATACGAAGAGTTTGGTGCAATTGATCAACGTAACCTGGTTAATTGCGATGCCATAAAAAAGAGAGCATCGCATTTCACCTGTCATGAATGATGTCAATTTGAAAAATGTCGCGAACACGGGTTGTCACATCTGAGTTATCACAATCTCACCAATAATATGTGCAGTGAAATTGCCCTAAACTGACGCATAGTTGCTTGACTGCCAACAAACGCAACTGTAAGGGGGATGAATTCAGAGTGCTATTGCAACTTTTAATTGCCCAATAATCTATTTGAAGACGTCTGTGGTTCGCTTAGCTTCAACATTCATACGACTTCACGAATGCCTCAATATTGTCAATGCAAACACTCAATTCTATGGTGATTTTTGACATATCAAAAAATTATCAACTTCTTAAAACATCGTCTCTTGCTTCCGAAATTACCGCACTGCAGAACGTGAGCACTTAGTAAAACAGCAATTAACCGAAGTGACCACAATTCTGCAGTTGAAATTTCATAATTTGCGCACATATTGGATTTTTGCTGAGATGGATCACTGAATCATGGAGTGAATCCATTCTAGTGTACCGTCTGATTTATAACTCATCATCTGCAGTAAAATTCTAGTGAAGTAAAAGATTTAACTGACTGCTTCATTCATATCACTTAATAAGCGTTGTCGTATTTTGAACGTTGGCATGATGATTAACAAAACGTTACAATTAATATTCAAAATGTGTGAAA